CACTCCTGACATCCAGGCTCCTTGATGTCCCTGGCTGAAGGCCTTAATGTTTGGCCCCCCTGAAATGCCTTCACCTTCCTACCTCTTCCAGGAAGCAGTGCATTGAACTGGAGCAACAATTTGACTTTTTGAAGGATTTGGTGGCGTCGGTGCCTGATATGCAGGGTGATGGAGAAGACAACCATATGGATGGGGACAAGGGTCCTCGCAGGTGGGGGCCAGGGTCATGTGTACAGGTGGGGAAGATCAAAGCTACAGGGACCCGGGGAGGCTGGGGGGCCACCAAGGAGGGGGAAGACCTCTGGGCAGATGGACTATACCTTCCTGCAGGGGCCGGAAGCCAGGCAGTAGTGGCCGGAAGAATGGTGGGATGGGAGGCAAAGGCAAGGACAAGAAACTATCTGGAACAGACTCGGAGCAGGAGGTGAGTGAGGCCTCAGCCATCTGTTTTGCCCTGTGGTGATGAAAAGGGCAGCCTGTGTCAGGTTGTGCTGGCTTAAGGTTTTTTCTCAACCTTATCTGTGACTTCTTGCAACTCAGTGTCTGTATAGGTTAGCTCTGGGGGTCTATTCCTGTCCCTGCCACTCCCAGGGATCTGGGTTCCCTGCTGATGGGTTCATGGCTTTTCTTGTCAACTCTGACCCCTGCTTTGCTCACAGGATGAGTCTGAGGACACAGATACTGATGGGGAAGAAGAGACAATGCATCCCCCACCCCAGACCAGCCGCCCCTCTGCACACTTTCAAAGGTAAGCAGCCCAGGGCATCAGGAGGGAGCTACCAGACACTTGGTTTTCCCTGTGATCTTTGTTGGTTGTAGCAGGCTTGGGGGATGGGAGGGGAGTAAATAGGGGTGCTTAAAGGCAAAAGACCTTCTCTGAGAAGGTCTTGTCCCTACCCTGGTCAGAGGCAGCAGGTGGAGCCTGGGCAGGGCCGTGTGATCTGCTCTGGGTCCTCCCCTCCTTGGGGCTTGGCTCTCCATGGTCCCAGAGGGTGGCCAGCTCCACAGCTACCTCTGTGGAGGATGGGGGTGGGGCTCAGTGGGCCAAGATGGGCATGGGAGCAAAGCCTGATTTTTCCCTCCTGCTTTCTGCCCTGCAGCCCTCCGACCCCCTTCATGCCTTTTACTTCTACTTTGCCTTTGCCTCCGGCCCCCCCAGGCCCCTCAGCACCTGACGCAGAGGATGAAGAAGACTATGACTCCTAGCACCCTCTGCCCCCCAGGCCGCACCCCCTTTTAGTTGATTTTAGTTGCTCTGGGGGGAAGAGATAAACTGTTCTTAAATTTATTAAAAAATAAATAAAAGGGAACATCACTGTCTTCTCAGCCTGTGTTCAAGGCTTTGTGACTGTTTTCCCATCCACTCCACTGCCTTCCCATGCTCAGGGACCTTGGTTTGGTAGGCCAGGCAGCAGCTAAGTAAAACAGGAGTTGACCAGGGAAGCTGGAGGCCACAATTTGCCAGGATAGCACCAGGGATGCTGATGGAAGGAGATGGGTGGAGGGTGGTCTAGTGCCCATGTCAGTAGGTGCTAGATGTACTGGGGGACAGCCTGTTTCGTGCTATGTGACCCTTTCTTCTTTGGACTGCTGTGAAAGGACAGGCAAGACAAAGAGATTGGTCCTTGAAAACTGCGGGGCAGGGTAAGGCAGAAGCACAGAGCCTAGCAGACCCGAGGCTTGTTTTGGCCTTGACTTGACTTGACGTGGGGGCTTAGAGGGAAGGAATTATTAAGGAATTATTATTTCTTTCTGTAGCAGCTTTGGCAGGGAATGCACCTGGAGGACAGGTGAGGGGAGGGCCTGAGTAAGCCACCAAAGCAGACAAGAACCATCAGGCCCTGGGCCACCTAGCTGCATCTGGAAGGAGGAGATCAGCTATCCAATGCTGCAGAACAGGAGGTGGTACCTGCCAGGTGTCCTTTAGCCTCAGGGGAGCCTTTACTAGCTGCTTCAGTACCATGATGGTTGATGAAAGAATGGGAGCTAAGGTGAGAAGCTCTGGATGAGGGGGTTCTGTGTTTGGGTCTGTGAGACCACTGAAAGAATAAGATCTGGTATTTTGTTTGTTCTTATTTTGGTGGTACTGGGGGTCAAAAACCTTGGTTTTGACCCCCAGTACCACTTAGTACTTAACTACTAAGCCACATTCTCCAGTCCTTTGTTTTTTATTTTGAGACAAGGTCTTGTTAAGTTGCTGAGAGTCTCATTAAATTGCTGAGACTGGCAATAATCCTTCTGCCTCAGTCTCCCAAGTCACTGAGATTATAGGCATGTTCCACTGCACCTGGCAGTGTTTTTTTTTGTTTTGTTTGTTTGATATCAGGGATTGAGCCAGGGGTGCTTAGCCACTGAACTACATTCCCAGTCCTTTTTATTTTTTTTGAATTTTGAGATAGAACCTCACTAAGTTGCTGAGGCTGGCTTTGAACTTGTGATCTTCCTGCTTTGGCCTCCCAAGCTGCTGGGATTACAGGCATGCCACCGTGTCCAGCTCAGTTATTGTTTTTGTTTTTTTGATATTAGGGATTGAACTTGGAGGCACTTGACCACTGAGCCACATCCCAAGCCCTACTTTTTGTTTTATTTAGAGACAGGGTCTCAGTGAGTTGCTTAGTGCCTTGCTTTTGCTGAGGCTGGCTTTGAACGCATGATCCTCCTGCCTAGTCCTCCCAAGCCATTGGGATTCCAAGCGTGCACCACCACACCTGGCTTAGTTTTTGTTTTTAAGATAGCAGAAACAAGTTTCCAGAGAGAGAGAGACTGAAGGGAGAATAGAATTGGTGAATTGAGGTGGTAGGCCTGAGGCAAACCCCAATCTGAAGAGGAGTTGGCTTGGGTGGGGCATTGAGGTGCCCAGAGTTTTCTCTGATGGTTAGGACCATCTGCCTTATGTAAGGGACAAGGTAGGTTGAGGTGGCTCCAAGGATAGTGGAAATATCTGCAGTTTGAGGCATCTTGGTGTGGGGCAGCTGGCATGGATGTTCAAGGAGCTGCCTCCTATTCATTCCCTCCTGCTTCCCTTGGGAGAGCCATCTCTCCCTTACCCCAACCTGGGATGTGTGCGCAACTGACACCACACCCTGAGGTTGAGAGGTGGGCAGGTGCACCAGCCTGGCCAGGGACAGCACCCTACTCTGGCCACAGTGACTAGTGCAGGGTGGGAGTTCTAGTGCATGAGAACCCTGGGGATTTAGGTGGGACCACTGGGAAAGGATTTTGACAAGATCACTGGCACGGATGACAATGGTAGTCACACTAGTGTAGCAAAGCTGGTGGGACACAAGTAGGCTGGGAGCTACTGGAAGGTATGTGCCACTTCAAGGAGCCATCCTGCCTGAGGCTGAAGCCAGTGCTGAGGACAGAGCCAGGTGTTCCAAGATAGAGATTTCTGATGGTGTCTTGGCACCTGGATCTTGACCTTTCAGATCCTTGTGTACCTGGACTTCCTAATTATATGAACCAATAAACATTGACCCCCTGAGCTGTCAGGTTTCTGTTACTCATAACTGAAATAACTCTGGGTAAAACAGGGACCATGAACATTAGGTGATCCCCATTGCCCCAAAAAGTGTTCTCTAGCAGTAGATTTTTGTTGAGCAGATGGGGAGTGGGGATGGGAGAAGAAGAAAGCCGTGGGAGCCTATTGCCAGGGTCCATCCCAGGTGGGCTCTGAACACAGGGTTTAGAAAATAGTGGGAAGGCAAAGAGGCCATGGTGCAGGAAGCAGCCCTCACTTCATTGTGGCGAAAGTCCCTAGGAGGCACCCAGAGCAGCTGGCCGGACCCTCTGGGTTCTCAGCCTTTTGGCTGAACCTTGAGGCAGAGTGTGTAGAACTGCAACCTCTGGAGCCAGGACCTGGTTCAAGTCAGGACTTGTGTGCCTCAGGTTCTCAGCTGTGCAGTGAGCTAGTTATATTACCTTTGTTAGGTATGTGTGCTATGCAACAGTTTGTCGTCACACCTGTATGAAGGCAAGCTTATCGATTTAACAGATCTGATCTATATAGGCTCAAATGCAGTGGCAGTTTGTATTTTGCCTACATAAGGTTCATAATGGGATTTATCTGACCAATAGATGACACTTGTCTAAGGAGACTTTAGGGCTTAAGCTCCTGTGGCCCTGCCATCTTCAGCCCATGATTTCCAGGCTCAGACACCCATGAAGTGATCCAGTGCCTCTGCTCACCTCCCACAGACTAGGGCTTATCACAGTTCCCCTCCTGAGACAGGCAACCTGAGACACCAATCATTTTCTGCCACAGGACCTCTAAGACCAGCGGAAAGGGCCTGGCCCAGCCTTCAGCAAGTGTCAGAGTGAGAGGGCAGGGCCCTGGGGAGATGGTGCTCCTGGCTGGGTCAGGCCTCTGGGTGCCTGGCAGTGGGTGAAGATGGCCATAGTCCCATGGGCCCCACCAAATACCAGAAAGGGGCAGCCACAGTGCCCTGCCTACAGAGTTTTGCTGGGGAACAGGTGATTCTATTCTTTAGCCACCAGGGAGCCGGGAGCCTGGCTCCTCAGACCAAGTCCTGTCTGATAACAGCCGGGCCTTGGCTGTGCCGCCGTGTGTTAAATGTGACCAGACGTGTGAAATGGGGAGCAATTTCCAAGGCCAGTGTGGCAGCCAAGGACTGACCTTCCCCCAGATGGAGGGCCCCTCTGCAGCAGCACTTATTGAGCACCCATCATCATTACTCAACGTCACCCACCCAGACACCTGAAAAGAGAAGGTGACCTCACCGAGGAGATGGTGTCACAGAGCTCGTAGTGCTTTTGGAAATGTCAATGGGGACAACCACCTTGGAAAAGCATTTGGCTGTAACTACAGGTTTTCCCTGTGACCCTACAGTTCCACTCCTAGGTATCTTACCAAGAGAAGTGAGGGCACACGTCCACCAAAGACATGAGAGTGTTCATAGCCCTAGAAACAGCCCAGCGCCCATCAAGAAGAACGTGAGTGGATACATGGCAGCCTGTGAGTGCTAGAAGAGCAGGGAGGAGCAGGCCCCTGTTCCTCAGCGTGGGTAAATCCCATGGAAGTTTTGTTGAGCAAAAGCAGCTCAATGGCAAGGAACACTAATGATGTAATTCATTTAAATGAGATTGGTGCTGACAGAAGTCAGGGTGGGGATTGGCTGGGAGGGGGCACAGGGAACCTTCTGGAAATACTGTATAACTTGAACTGCATGGTGGTTATATATAAAGTTACATCTAGCTGTATACTTAGGATTTGTGTACTTTTATGGTATCCTCATAAAAATTTTATTCATTTATTCTACCTTCCTACCTACCTACCAAGAATCTATTATCTGTCAAGCAGTGTTCTAGGTAGTAGTGATTATTATGAACAGAATGTTCTTGGAGTGTTTCTGAAGGGGAAAGACAGACGATAAAGAACAGAAATAGCATGTCAGATGGAGGTTCGTGCTGTGAGGAAAATAAAGAAAAATGAGAGGCCTGGGGAGTCCAGGCAGGAAGGGTGGCCCAGCACCCTGTTCCAGGTCTAGAGGTGGCCTGAATGAGATGAGAATGAATAGAAGGTTCCAGGGTGAGGAGTGAGTGGGCCACCCAGCTCTCTGTGGGGAGAGAGAGAGCTCCAGGCAGAGGGAAGAGCAAGGCAGAGGCTGGGCAGGTTGGGCGGCTTCTGTGGGTTCCTCTGTGGTCTTCTGCTCCCACGTCCTCAGCCCCCGGCCAAGCCTACTCAGGCCCATCTTGGCTGAGGAGTGTCTTTGTGGTGCTGGCAGCCCCTCAGGATCCAGAGCTTTGTGGAGGGGGAGGGCGACTGTGTGGGGGTCCTACCTCACACCTGCCCAGGGTGCGGCTTGAGACCAAGGCGGAAAGCTGAGGAGGGCAGTGGCCTCACCCACCTGGCCTCTTCCCTGCCCTGGAGGGTAGAGGCCTTCCCTTCCCCTCTCTGGGCTCTACCTTCTACCCACCCTACCCCTGTGGAGCAGCTCCTTCCCTGTGCTGTTAGATCTGAGGCCACTATAGGTTTCCTGCCTCCGCCCTCCTCAAGGGCAGGCAGCTTCACCCCCTTTAGACAGAGAAGTGAGGTGACTTCTTGGCAAAGGGGCAGACATTGGCCAGCACAGGACTGTGCCTGGCCCAGGATGTAGGGAGGCGGAGTTAGCAATCTTCCCCACCCTGGACCTGCTGCTGTTCCTTCTCAGGTGCAGTGGCACTCAGCTCCAGGACATGGAAGCGACCAAGTTCTCACTGTTAGGCTGTGGGCCCTGTGATAGGGGAGTGGCATCCATGATCTAGGTGCTCCACCAGGGTCCTGATCCCTCCTTGCCTTGGTGAAGGGCCTTTGGTGACAGGGGGTC